ACCTTAAACCTTAAACCCTAAGCCCCGAAAGCCTTGCCTTCTAAAGCCCGAAAAGCCCCAAGCCATGAATCCATGGGTGCCAGGTGGGAGTTTCCGAAATTAGGGTTTAGGGTTTAGGGTTTAGGGTTTAGGGTTTAGGGTAATTAGTACCCTAAATGGTAGGATCCTTGTTATAAGGGCCCCAAAAACCCGAAACTTTCGGAAACTCCCAGGTAAAGGGCAGTTTGGGGTCTTGGGAAGGCCTTGGGGATTGGATGTAGGGTTTAGGCGGTTTAGGTTTAGAGCTTAGGGTGCCCTAAACCCTAAACCCTAAACCCTAAAACCTAAACCCTGGAGGGGTTCGGTTTAATGTCTGTAGCCCAGGTCGTGAGATCTCAGCTCCCTACTAGCCGTCCCACCCTTCAAACCCTGAGCTTCGAATCATTCTGTAGCCCCGAGACAGATCTCTAAAAACATAAACACCGTGGCCAGAATCGTATCCTAGAACAGATGAGACCCATCCGAAACCCTCAAAGATCGTGTTTTCAATTAAGATAGCAGGATGGCTCTTCAAAGCCGGCGGCACGGAGCTCACGACCAGCCAAGCTTGAGGTCTTGCAGGTTCTAGGTTGTAAGGATGTCGGAGGTAAGCCCAAGAAAGTTGCAATCCCAAGCCCGAAAATCTTGATTATCCTGGAACCTCCAGAAAGCCCCTTTAAGGAATCCTGTGAAGGAGCTCTGACAAGAGATCATGATGAAAAAAGCCATTGTGCTGAGGATTTTGGGATCCCCGGGAGGTTTCTTCACCGGGTTTTTGTGTTTCCGCAACCTGCGGGCCTTCAAGACGTTACAGGAACAGGCGACGTGGGAACTACAGTTGTTGATGTGTATATATATATATATATATCCTGCATTACCTTAAGGACCCTAAACTATGGGAGTTCTGGTATATTCCCCTATGTATGGATGATGCCATGAACCGTAGGTAATGGTTGGTGATAAGTACCTCGGCTAGATCTTACAAGCAATTCGACACAACAGATCCAGGGTTTGCAAAATGTCCGACTGCACGGTCTGTGCTACGGTGGAGGATCTAAACCCTGCATTACCCATTAAGGAGGGAATGTCCCAGAATTTCCATAGTTTAGGGTCCTTAAGGTAATGCGGAATGTATATCATCAACAGCAGTGCCGAGCCCTACTTCAGAACCCTTTGTCGTAAGCATTTCCGAGGTCCCTGGACTGACTCTTTAACCCTTGACCCCGAAGCCCTCCGACCTCAAACCCTTAAACTCCCAAACCCTTACACTCCAAAAACCTAAGCCGTAAACCCTAAGCCCCAAGCCCTTAAACTCCTAAACCTGGGTCTTTAGCGCCCGGGGTTTGCTTGAGGATTCGAATCGAAGCTTGAGCGTTTAGGCTTGAGGTCTTAAGCTGCAGGGCTCTACTTGGGTTTAGGGGTTTACGGCTTCAGGGATTGAGGCTTTTCTTGGATCGAGCGTATGCAAAATTCTGCATGACCCAAATATAGTATAGTACCATAATTCCCATAGTTTAGGTAGATAGGGTCATGCAGGATTTTGTCCATCAGCCGTATTTAGGGTCAGTCCAGGTAGGGTACATAAATCGTCGCGCGACGCGGTAACAAACTGAAAACCTGGAGCTTAAGGCCTTGACTGCCCAAGCATCGACCCAGCAGCGACGCCGTTTTAATCGTTAGAGTTTAGGATGTCCCTTAAAGGACCCTTGAACGACCCGCAGAACAGGAATCCTTGCAGAAGTGCCTCAAGGGCGCCTTTAAGGGTTCCTTTGCGGGGTCCCTGAAGGGTTCCTCTTGGGGGTTCCTTCAGTGGGTTCTTATGATAAGACATCTTAAATCGCCTCCGAGTCCCTAAGCACCAAGCCGCCCTAAATCCTTAAGCCATATAAACCCTAAGCCCTCTGCCCGAAGCCCTAAGCCCAAATCCTAAACCTCTGAATCCACGTCCCCTGAGCTCTCAATCCCGGAATCCCGATCAACAACCCGCACCGAAACCAACTTACCCCAAGCTCCGCAATTAGGGTTTAGGGTTTCGGGTTTAGGGTTTCGGGTTCGAGTTTAGCTAGGCTGACCCTAAACCCAAAACCCGAAATCCGGTTTGAGTTAAGGTGTAAGCCCCAGACCCCCCACCTCAAAGCCCGAGCCCTCTGGCAAGTTCTGAGGTGCCTTTACTACTGCATTTCGATGTGAACAAGACTGTGATTCAGTCGGATAGCGTGCAAATGAAAGGCCGGATCAGCGTGTCTTCGATTGGAAGCCACTGTTTAGGGGTTTAGGAGTGGAGGATGTTCGATACATTAAAACTGCTTTGAGAAGGTGCGGGCTACAGTCAGGCGTCGGGGCAAAATCTGAGCTGTGACTGAATTCGCTCGACGAGGAATTAGCTTGGGATGTCCCCTTCCTCAACCTTGCTTGGCACGGCACCGTTGTTTACCTCGGGCTTCGGGTTCAGTGCCTGCAATGTCTATCGGCATCGTGACTTAACATATTATGTCTTTGATTGCTTCGACAGGGATCATTCCGGCAAGTCGCCACCATCAATCTGCAATGTGAACGAGACTGTTGGGCCCACCGTTCGGCCTGTCAGCGCTAACACCTCTTCGTCCGCGCCAGCCCGAAACCGAAAGCCCAAAGCCGTTCTCCGTAGCCCGGTTCATACGAACCAAAAGCCCCCGAATACTAGCCCCAAGCCCCAAAGCCGAGATCAGAAAACCTAAACCCTAAACCCTAAACCCTAAACCCTAAACCCTAAACCCTAAACCCTAAACCCCGAGACCCATACGGATCGCAGGCGTGGAGGAGGGAATCCGAGAGGGCATCGCAGACCTCTTCTGGGGAAACGTGAGCAAAAACGGAGGCGAGCGTGGTCTGCCCTACACATGTTTTCATTTCATGGTGTTTTTTCCGGTTTCAGGTGTTTGGTTTCATTTCATGGTGTTTTTTTCCGGTTTCAGGGTTTGGTATTTTGACTTTCTGGGTGTGGGACTTGGGGCTTCATGGGGTTTAGGGTGCGAGCTCTCGGGCGCTGTTGCTCGCTTCTTAATCTTCGGGTTTCTGAGATATGTCGCATCTCGGTTTGGAGACCCGGTAGTACTTGCGGTTAGACTGTCGGCAATAGTCTTTCTGACGCCCTCGTGCCAGTACCTGTCTCCTGTGGTATATTGCTTTTGCTCACTGCCGCTAAGCCATGCTAAGCCCGTGCAACCTCCAACAGTCTGGTTTTGGTTTAGGGTTCAGGGTTTAGCGTTTTCGGGGTCTCCTGCGTTCGTCGGAGCCGCACGCCTTGAGAGAGCTGGAGAAGGTATAGGAGCCACGGACCTCGAAAGGGCACGACCGAAGACAGGTGCTGTTGCAGACTAACCGAGCTTTCCAAGCTCTGATTTCCTCTGGTTTTTTTTGGATAGATCTGCTGGTTGGATAGGTGCCTGGACAGGAACCACCCTAAACCCCAAACGCCAAAAGCCAAAACAACAAAATTTGAACAAGCAAACAAAGCACCAACAAAACCGAGCAACAACCATGTGAACATGTGGGTGGTCGTCAAAATTAGGTTCCCTTTTTGTGTACCCTAAATAGTAGGTGCCGTATTATATTACGGACACAAAAAGGGACCATAATTTTGACAACAACCCATGTAAGAAAATACACGCAACCCGCGAGGCTCCGAGACCTGGGAGTGGATCAAAGCCGAGCCCACCTGCACGCCCCCAAAGGCCGCGACGACTATCGGGGCCTCGATAACTAGAACAGGGCTTTCGGGTAACCCTAAACCCTAAATCCTAAACCCTAAACCCTAAACCCTAAACCCTAAGATTGGAGTACAACAGCAGAGGGAATTCTCCAGGGAGGGTTCACTGCGAACAGGGCTGGGCCTCTTTTTTTTTGGGGGCTTTAGGAGTGAGGACTCATGGTGTGTGATTACAGAGACCCTAAACTCTTAGCTTCATTGAACACTACAAGAATACTCTGATTCATAATCATCATCATCGTCTTCATCGTCATCATCGTCATCATCCATACTATTGATGTTCTTTTTTTGAACGGCGACGAGGACTACTAATACCAGGACCAGTACCATGCAGTTCGTACTCTGGGGCCTTGCATGAATGTCTTCTAGCATGAGAGTCTGCTTGGAGGATCATGGTTAGTAAGTAAGGTTATAAGTCCTTTAATTGCGGTTATAAGTAAGCATAAGTATAGTT